TGCAGCTGAGCAAGCGTCATCTGCGTTGCCTTGGGCTCGAGAAGGATAAGCTCGCCCCCCCCCTCCGCCCCCAAAACTCGCTCCGCGGCACGCAGCCTGCGTGTGACCCGGAAGAGGCGCGCGGCCTCCGACGAAATGCCTCCCGGTTTGCGGAGGTAAAAAGTGGAAGCGCCCGAGTCCCACCTGTCAAGGATGCTATTAAAAGCATGCAGTACAGTATTTGCAAAAAAAAAGGACGAGGTCGAGAGCGAGGGGGGGGAGAGACACAGAAGGTGTGATTATTTGGCATTCCGGTCTATTTCAGGAAAACAAAACCATCAATGTAAACTTTCTCTTGGCAACGTTAAAGTCCAACAGATGCATTGCAGCAGCAGCTTTCCTGGACTGCACTCCAAATGATGCACGAGTTTCTATTCCGAGTGACAACTAAATAGAGGATCTTTAGGGGTCTGGATGAAGACCCTCTTATTTAGGTTTCCGTGGTGGGACTTGTGTACTTTATCACCCGCTCCGAATCGGAAATGCAGCTTTGAAGGGCATGCTTTCCAGACGGAAGGCGACAAAGGGTGTGATTATTTTATAAGCTTCCTCGGGTCGGTATCACAGATTTACTCCTGAAGAGGTGGAGAAATGGGGCTCTTTCTGGCTCCCCATTCCTCACTTTTGCATTCATATTTGCTTCCAATTTGCACGGCTCTTAATCCCGTTGTGTCCAAGGGGAACCTCAATTTCCCTTCTGTCTCCCCCACTAGCCTCGGTCGAGACCGGACATGCGGTTAGCCCTTTGGCCCAGTAGGGGGCGGCCCTGGAGAGCTTTCCTGGACGCCATTAAAGCAGCGGCGGCGGCCAGAGGAAGTGTTTTCTGCCCCCCCCCCTCTCGTCGGCTGGGGACGAGAATGAGAGAGAATGAACCAGAGAGACACCCTGGTCCATCTGTTTGCTGGAGGGTAGGTGCCGGCCAAAGCTAACTCGCGACACCTTGGCGAGGCGGTGGGAACGTGCGAATGCGCCCCAGCCTTTTTGTAACGCGAGTCGCGCCTATAGAGAAGCGAAAGGGTTTTCCCCTGCGCTAACCCAAGGCCTGTAGGGGATGAAAGGCGGCTGGTGTAGATACAGAAACAGCAGGTCGGGGGTCTTTACAGTAGGAGAGAGAGAGAGAGAGAGAGCTCATCGGGGTTCGGGATCAGAGGCAAACATGTCGGGCAGAAAAAGCCCATCCCTTCCTCGTCTCTCTTCCGCAGATCCCACGGAAGTGGCTCTTCAAGTTGGGTAGGAGCTGGTGGGGAAAGACTGCGGCGGTGCGGTTGCAGAGGAGTACGTGCTTACTTGAGTGTAAACCGGACTGAACTCGCTGGGACTCACTTCCTAAAGGTGTTTAGGCTCGGGCAGCTAAGACGAAAAATGGGGGAAGCTGGCTGACAGGTGACAGGATTAGGGTCGCAGAAGATCATCATCATCATCAAATTCATAGTGTGATAGAGGGCTCGAAGTACGTGTCCTGTGTGTGTTGGCTTTCTGGGCAGAGTCTTTTCCATTTCTGAACTCTTCTTTTTAGTGCGGACTCTGGGGAGGTCACTGACCTCATTTGTGGAAATAGCATGGTCGTGTTGGAGAGAAGGAGGTCGACACTGGTTCTGTTGTGAACAAAAATGTGTTTTGCACACGGCTCACATTAAGAATGCAGAATATGGAGCCCACAAATTTATGGTAGTACTGAAACTTTGTTTTGCTCTCCCCACCCCACCCCCGCTAACTTTTGAGACATATTTAGGAGAGTGTGGTTTTCAACTCCAAAATAGACATTTACCCAGTCCCACTTTCATTACAGATGCAGTTTTGATTGCCTTCTGTACTGTGGCCTGGTTGTTTTTGTGTATGTTTTGCGATGTTGTGGTTGTGGCTTCTGTCAGTTTAAGGGTATTAGCAGTTTAGTGTTGCAGCTACAGGGTTGTTATGGACAGAATTAAATACAAGTGAAGTTGTGTTAGCCTTATGTAATGTTTCTGTAGGTCAGCTCGGACCTTAGTTAACACAGAGAACTTTTAGTTGGACAACAGTCATGTAATTAAATCTGACATAAAAACTTCCATTATAGCATTGAATTTGGGTTCAGTTAATTGGAATCAAAGTGTGGGTAAAGGACACCTGGTGAACAGAAGGTCATGTAAATACTGGAAGTGAAATTCTCAAGCTCAGTCAGGTCATACCATCATGACTACTTATTTGTTACAAACTTACAAGTCAGTTATACTTCTTAATCATGTTTTATACCTAAGGTCCTGGTGGTAACCTCACACTGGAATTGGCTGGCTTTTTTTTCAGTGTGGGGAACAGATTGATCTTAATTGTTCAGTACTACTAAATATAGAATCAAGGGATTATACATGTTATATATTTAAAATACAATAATAATCATGGAACTGCACAGGTGGGAGGGACCTTATGAATCATCAAGTCCAGCGCTTGTCAAGGAAGCATAGTGGAGAATCCAAGTCTTAACCTCTGGCTCTGCAGCCAGAGACCTAAACCACTGAGCTGTATATTTATACAAAATCTATACTATAAATGAATGTGCAGTGTTGACATTAACATTTTCTAGGCACCTTTGCACATTAGAAAAAATTGCATCTATTTGCTAAGAATACAAATGAGGACTAGCAATGAAGGCACAGTAAATTTAATTGGTGTGAGAAAATGTTAATACAGTACTTTTAGGCTGTAATCCTTTACATACTTGTATAGGAGCACCGATGGCAGAAAGTGAGGTGGAATTAAAGAACCTCATAATGAGGGTGAAAGAGGAGAAC